TACAAAGCAGAATAAAAACCGACCAGAAGATACACACTTTGTAGAAAGGGAACCAGGATGGAAACCAAACCCACAAAAAGAAAAGAAAAAAAGAAATAGGTGGCATAAAAACAGAAATTTCTAAATCAGGCAACAGTGAAGCCAGTGATTTTAAAATATGAACGATTATGTGTAAACACAGAAGAGGCGACGTATTGGTTAATATCATCCTGAGGTTTGTGGCAGATCTCTGCATGGCCGTAATCTGGGGACGTGAAACGAGCCTTAAACTGATGGATTTGAATTATCCATTTTGGAATTTCTTTTTGTGTTGATAAACATATTATATTATCTTGAATCATAAGGCAAGAGAATGATGCTGGGGCATGCAGAAGATCGGGTTGTTACCCACTACGATGATGGGAATTAATAATCCTGATGAAACCCACAATCATTACTATATGGAATATAATTATAATGTCACTCGGGTGGTTGTTTTTACTTTTATACATATAAGAAGATATTTACTACTGATGGGGGCAGATATGATTGAAGATCCTGAATAAACTGTTGCACCAGCAAGCTATGTTACCCGATTATGGATGTTGGTTCTACCAATCCAGTGGAAAGACCTCAAAGAAGATACTATATGGATTATAAATTTAAAGTCATTGTCTTTTCTTTTTTTTTATTTAGATATAATGGAAAATATAGACATATATTTTTAAGTAGTGTGGGCAGTGAATCAAAGATGTTAAGAAATGTTGTGTATGGCAATTTTGCATGATAGTGGGTGAATAAGCTAGTTAGTAGATTGATTAGTCTAAGAAAAGGGATTTTTAAGTGTTATATTTAGGGGAGTGGAGGAAATGGATAGAGTGGAATAAATGTTAAATTAGATTTTATGGGGAAGGCCGCTTTCGAATGTTATAGTAATATATATAGAAGATTAAATGTTAAAATAGGACTTATCGTATAGTTTTAAAGTGGAGAAGTTATTCTATAATGTCATAGTATAATGTCTTTTTTTTTTCTTCCTTTCTTTTCTCTTTTTTGATATGTATGGATAAAGGGGGATGTTATAATATTAATAATATTTTTAGTAAGTAAAGGTCAATATCTAGAGGAGGGAGTAAGTAATCTGTTATGAATTAGGTTTTTTTTTGTTATGAAGAAGTCACAGGGGGGGATGGGTGGGGAGGGGGGGTTAGGGAGGGGGAGGGAGAGGGGGAAAAAAGGGGGAAAAATTTGTATTTGAAAACTTTTTCAATAAAAAAAAAAAAGGTCATAAAATCAGGTGTGATCATATGGGGACCCTGGGCTCAATTATAGTAGTGGGTCATGGACTACATGCGTATCATAAAGGGAACATCTTCACATTGCACTCCTGATAACTTCATGGATAGATCCATGCCATTTTTCATGCCTTTTTTCTTTTTAGAATTTTATTAAAGTTTATTATAAAATACATTTTTTTAAAAAAGATCATAAGAGAATAGAGAAAAGTGAAAGAAAGGAAAGGAGGTAAGGTTAAAAAAAATATCTTCCACCTTTTTTCAATGCAAGAGAATAGAAAATACAGCTGCAGTCACAACTTTTTGCTTTCCATATTTAGTATTAGCCATTTCTAAACACAATAATCAAAATCTAAAATGGAAGTTTCATTTTTTTTTCTGTTAAAGCATAAAGTTCAGAAGCAGTTTCCAAGTGGAAACAAACTGGATATGATCTTTTGTTTAATTAAAGCAGTTAATTTAGCCATTTCTGCCAACTCTATCACTTTTTTTATCCATTCATCCATTGTGGGAATTGACATGCCTTTCCATTTTTGCGCAGATCGGATTCTCTCAGTGGTCAATGTATATAACAGTCTTCCTTTTTCCCAAGTTTTTTATTTAATAATCCTAAGAGAAAAACTTTTGATTTCAACTTTATATTTAAAATTCTGAATCTTTCTTCTTTTCTTAAATGTTTTCCAAGCCTGTTTTCCTCCCTGCACTCTTTAACATGAGCATCAAGAGGAAACAGAAAGATGAGTATCCACAGAAATATTAGAGTGGTAAAATTTGCCATGCATTTGCTATATTAAGCTTTCATTCACCGATATGTTGGTCACAATGTCCAGATCATAGAAGAAATTCCTATATAACCTAAAGCAGCAGTCCGGAGATCTCTGCAGTATCTGTTTCTTGACATGGGTGACCTTGAAAGGCTGAAAAAGGCTGATACAAATAGACATTCAGCTGTTCCTTTTACATTCATTTAATATACTTGTGTAATTAAACTGCTGTCATACCCAATAGTACCTTATTTGCTCTTTGAACATACGGTAATTATTTTTCACTACAGAATGCTTACTTCAAAATTTGAGGGCTTTTATTTTTATTTTATCAAAAAAAATGGAAGCATGCCAAGTGAATATTACATTTATAAAAAAATATTTTCGTGCCATTAGATTACAGATCACATATTGGTTTTGATAATAAAGAGTCTTTCTTCTGGACCTGATGTTCCAGGCACACAAAAGAAAACAGTCAGCACTGATGAAATTAGCAACTGAAATATTATTTTCACTGAAATAATTAAACAGTTGGACCCCTTTCTTCAGTTTTACATCAGTCTTTTTAACACAAACACATGCTAAAATTACTGCATCAAAGGACTAGAGACATGTTTCAGCTTATCTATATTTTTAGTTTTATTAATTTTTTTAACCTCAGGCAAGAACATTCACCATTTTCCACTGTGGGAGACTTGGCTCCTTCATTTGTTTTCCAAAAATGTATGTGAGATAAAACCTTTTCCATAAAAAAACCCTTAACGTATTCCATAAAAGGTTTGAAACAAATCATCAACAACATAGTTTTTCTTTGTGCAATAAAACTTTTTTTCTCCTGGCAAGTTTATACCTTAGTTGATAATCTACTTTTAGTATAATGTCATTTGTTTTTCACACCTTCACAATTATTTTATTAAACATTTTGAGCTATCCATGAACAAATTATGACTTGTGTTTCAAAATATAATTGATAATTGACAGCCTTTATTGTGATTTAAAATAGTTCTTAGTCCTTTAAATACATAATGGATCCTTTCAACTCAAAGAGGTGAGAGAAATTTCATATTGCCTTGTTGCAACCCACCTTATATGCTAAATTGCAATGTCACAAAACTTTAATATGAATAATATATGTGGAAATATAATTTTTCACACCAAGAGCTTCAGTATAAAATGGTAAAATGGCAACTGCATTTTGAATGCTATTCTGTCCTACAATATGTATAGGACAGAATAGCATTCAAAATACAATATGTGTGGCACAATTACAATAATTTGTTCTGATTTTCTATTTGCATCCCTTTTCTTCGCATCTCGAGAATTGTATTATAATCATCAAAGCAAAAGTCTAACTTTCCCACAATAGTCATGCCTTTTGAGAATACAAAGGTGATTTGTCATTATTTTGGAGATTTCCCTCGGAAGCACGAAGTCAATGTTTTAACATTCATGTCTGTCTGGTCTAAACAAAGGCACCCAACCATAGACACAATTTTATGTCCTTTTTGTTTTAAGCATCAACTATTAAGCAAGTTTAGATTTGCTCAACATTTCAAGTCTTTCAGAACATATACCAGTAGGTGCAATTCCAAAATAGTAACATCACATTTTGCTTAAGCAATTTAGGTGCAAAATATTTTGCTATCATTTGGAACTGGCCCCTTAACTCCACCCCTCTCCCCTTTGAATGCCTGCTAGAAGGGGCAGTTTCCTTATGGTACGAATACACAACTTGGGGGTGTTTTGTTGCAAGCCATCTACATGGAGAAGACATCTGACCTAATTTATATCTCCTTTCTACTTCTTGCAATTTTGATTTTTCAAAAGCAGAGAAGAGGAACCAAAGGACAGGAGGAAAAGGACTTTTTTTGAGTGGTTGCTTTTAGCTCTTGGCAAGGAGTCACCTCCAAACTCCCTGCATGGTAGGAGAATGGGGAGCTGCTTCCCAGATCAGGTATGTAGTTTTCCATATGTGTAATACTGCTTATAAAGTCAGCTTTAATCCAGAAAACAACCACTCTCACCCTCAGCCCAGTTATTTGGGCCTAAAGTTAGCCCACAAGTCTTGGGAAGGGAGGCTCAGTAATCAGTCTCTGCGGACATTTTAAAGTTAATATTGTAAACTTTATTAAATGTGCATTTTTGTATTAAGTTATCCTCTTTAACAGTTGAATAATGAATGTAATAAAATCAGCCTTTATGGTACAAACTGTGGATATAAAACTTATGCAGAGATAAATAGCAATTAATACTTTGAATTGTTAACATCACTTCAGCTAGGCAGCTCCCTATTTGGGGAAGTACTTTGAAAATACACCAGAGATGGTCTGTCTTTCATAAATAATTGAGTCAATTAAAGGTCTTCACTTAGGCCTTCTAATTCCTCTTTATAAATTCTGGGAGAACATGTTCAAATTTTGCAGAGTGGACACCTGCATCGAACAATAAATGTTCAATAGTAAAACTATACGATCCTCCCGAAATTCCACCTCAAACCCAATTGAAATCTTACCCCTCTCGCCTCCCAACCATAAAATTGCCTTTATATTAAAACCGTTATATATAAACTTATAATATCAAACATTATATTAAAAACTTCTGACTTTTCTCCAAAACAAATAAAAATCTCATCCTATCCCTCAAACCATTTTCACCGATTTTACATTAAATATAGCTCCTGATACTTTGGTTCTCTCCGCTCGTCCCCTTTAGGTCAAACAGGTAAGAGACCAGTCCTGTTAAAATCCCTTCTGTACTACCGGTATATTCCAGCTCAGCGACATAAAAAACAGATCCCACCAGCTTGAGTTCAGCCGCCGTAAAGCAGTTTGAGCAGACGTATGTTGCGATCAAGAGGCGGAGCTGCAGCAACAGCGGACAACAGCTGCCAATCACAATCACGCACAAAAGAGCCGGCTTCAAATAGTTTCTTCTGCCAAGCCAGCCGGATCGTACCATTTAACGGGGGGGGGAGGGTGAAAGGGAGACGGGCCACCTCGACCCCCTCCTATATTCAGCGGCAGAGTCTTGCTGTAGCAGTGGAGCCATTTTTTATGTTCGATATTGATGCTGCTTCGTCTTGCTGGGAAATCCTTGTGAGATCCAGCAGCCAGGATGCACCACGACGAGGCTAATATATATTGCACCCCAAAATATGTTGCATTTTGCTAGGCCATACGAAATAAATAAACGATGCAGTAGCATTTTTGGATTATTATGTGAGAAAGGTGCAACTAAGCACCGACAACTTCCACTTTATTTGCCTCGGATTACCTGGCGGCAAAAAGCAATTCTGCCCATTGGTGGCATTCCAAGCAGGCCTGAATCGCGGCCTTCCTTCTCCCAGTGGCTTCACCTCTCATTACTGTGGGACCCTGAGAGGCTGCCACAAAGAAGAGGGGGTCAATTTATTTTCCAAAGCACCAGAGGGCAGGACAAGAATGGATGGAAGCTCATCAAGAAAGAAGCAACCTGGAATTAAGGAGAAACTTCCTAACAGTGAGGACAATTAACCAGTGAAACGATTTGCCTTGAGAAGTTGTGGGTGCTTCACAACTGGAAGTTTTTAAGAAGAGACTGGGCAGTCATTTGTCTGAAATGGTTAGAGGGTCTCCAGCTTGAGCAGGGGGCTGGACTAGAAGACCTCCAAGGTCCCTTCCAGTCTATCCTGATTGAGTATAGAAGAAGCTGCCCAGAGGAAGTGGAGCCAAGCAATTGAAAACTCGCCGAGAGCTTCGATTTGCGCGGAGAAGGAGGCGCCGGTCCTGCGTCAGCCGGGGCAAGGCGGGACTTGTGACACTCCCTCGGCCCCAACGCGCGAGAAAGTCTGCGTTACCGGCAGTATCGGACGAGGATTCCCGCAGGCTGCAGTGACTCCAAAAAAGGAGCCGGGCCTTGTGGAGCGCAGAAAAAAGCCTGCACTGCAATCCAGGCTCCACCAGCCGTGCCGAAGAGACGGGTGGACGGAATGAGTCTTCGGCGGGAGCCCAGCCGGGCACATTGGCGCGAGTCAAGAGGGATGGCCCGCCACAGCACGGCTCTGCATCTCGTGGCAGGCGGGTGAGTGAGCCTACGGGCTTCTGAGCAAGACCCGTCGCGGGGATCCTGCGCGTGGGGCTCCGACGCGCGCCCTCTTGGCCCAGCGGCATTTGCTGCAGCGCAGCGTGTTCGGGCGAGACCAAAGTACGTGCTTGCCAGCTAGGTGACCTTCGCAGTCCTGGCCATCGCTTAATAAGCATGGCGGGGGTTCTGAACACCACTGCTAAAAATTGGCTGGGCTGCGTGCCGCTGTGAACCAGTGACGTATACATTTTAGTAAAGGCGCGAAAGCTGCACGAACTTTCTCTAGAGGTCTCTTTCCTTGGACAGTGTGCAAGGAGGTTCAGAATCAATTGCTTTCTTATCGGCATTGCTGCTCAGCTTTCGTTATAACTGAGTTAGGATTTGTTGCACACCAGCTTCTCTGTTGGTGAGATGAGTTAAAATGAGCCGGCAGCGACTCTGAAACACTCCCAGAAATTTCGTTTTCCCCTACTCAAGTGGCAGAGTCAGGATGAATGCTACTGGTAGGAAATCTTCCATAAGTTTTTTTTAGCCAGAGGTATCCTTTTTCACCCTGCCCTCCTAGCCGCGTTTGGAGAAAGAGACCCGGATATACTGTGAACACGTGGGCAGCTTTTCAAGTACCCATCCCTTCACTACTATTGAAATCAAGAAGAGATCAATTTATTTTGCCCAATTTAGAGAAGGTTTAAAACTACACCAGTGATGGGGGTGTGTGACTAAGGTCTGGACAAGATTGGCTATGAAATCAGTGTACACCTCCTCTATGCCTTCCCCTGACTCTCCCGCTTAACCTATTCTTTGCCGATGGACTGTTCCATTAGCTTCCTGAAAGCAGTCATTTATAACTCTGGCAGTTCTTCAGAACTGTTATCTTTTATTTAGAGATTTAGAAATGCTGGGAATTGCCCTGAAGGTCAAGAAAAGCTCAACTAGAGCACATGAACACTCCAAAATGCTAATGTCTTCCAAGGCACAGGGGTACCAGGCAGAAAAGTACCAGGCACAGAAACCAGAAAGAAGGATGGGGCTCAGGTCAATGCAACTGGCTGGAAGAGAAAGTTTTGAATTATTTCCTTTTGTTTTGAAGCATTGCTTAGACTTAGAGCAATAAACAATGAAAAGTAAGTTGTGAATGCTGTAAAAATGCTGAAAAAGAGGAGTAGATGCGGAGAAAAGTTAAAAATAAATATGGGGTAGTTTGTGGATGGAGAGGCTATCTGACATGTTTAATATATGTGTGGAAATTGCATCTATGCCTGAATATTTTTAAAAAATGCCATTATTCCCCCAGTGTTTTTCAACTTAAACAACTTTAAGTTTGTGGAATCTATTCCCAGAATTCTGGGAGTTGAAGCCCCCACATGGCTTAGTAGAGGGAATATTAATTGCCATTTTTGGCAACATGAGTTCCCAGTATGACTGCTGGAAAGTTTGTAGCGGTGAGTCATGCTATTCCAGTTTTCAAGCCACTGTCACAATCTGCTCTTCTGACCCACCATATTTCTCAGGGGTCGGCAATTAATTTTCCCAAGGGGCCACATGAGAAACTGGGACTGTTATGAAGGGCTGCCAGCACTGATGTTCTGCTGGCACATCTCCAACAATGATATCTGCCCCTTGCTTCTGCCACCAAATGTAGCACAGATCTAATATTTCTGCTATTTTGGGGACAAAATCCCAAGAGGACTGAAAAGATTTGATCCCCAAAGATAAGTTACCAAGTTTTATCAGTGAAAACCAAACATAAACAGAGGGAACTCCTTGATATTTGAGCAGAGGAAAGAGGAGTGTGGATAGGAAGAATCCGAATAACAGTATTTCAGCATTTTTCAGCAAAGAATCCTCTAAGTACAAATAATATTTTTCTGCTATAGAAATTATTCTGTCTCTTAGCGTAGAAACTGTTACCATGGTGCCTATGCTCATGCACTACTGTTTCTATTCTCTTTCCAAATAAAAATAATATTGGCCTGCATGATTGGTTTCCTACTCTGATCTACCTTGGAAAGATGACATGGTTGTTGCCTTACAATTAGAGTTCCTTTTACACTCATATCAGACTCTCTTTCTTGTATTCCAGTTCTGCAGCCACATTTACTTTACATTCAGGCTGCACAAATCCTGACAATAGCTAGTTGACATCCAAGAGACATAGAAAACCCACATTCTTTGCAGTTATCTAGGTTGAAAGGCAAATGATCGTTTGGCAAAATATTGGGGGCGAGGGGGAATTGGATGGAACTTTTTGGCATAGCCCAATACATGTTTTACATGGCAATTAATGGAAGCTTTTCCTGTGGCTGATGACATTGGGCAGGACTCGAACTACTATCACTTTCCTTTGTGTCGTGCAATTCAGGTAGTCCTTGACTTACTAGCACAATTGGGATGGGAATTTCTGTCACTGTGAGGTGGTTGTTCAGTGATTGACACCTGATTTTGGTATTTTTTGCCATTATTGTCATTAAAAGAATCCTGTGCTTAATCCCATTAAGCAAATCCAGTTTCCCCCATTGACTTAGTTTGTCAGAAGCTGCCTGGGAAGGTTAAAAACAGTAATTACGTGACCATGCAACCAGTGTAAATCAGGGTGGATTTGATTTAAATCGAGTTGATTTAAATCATGATTTAAATCACTAGTAAAAAGGCTTGATTTAAATCAACTCGATTTAAATCATAATTTTTAAAGAGCAACTGTCATCTCTGCTACTCCTTTGACCCACTGTTGACTCACCGATAGTCTCAGTGTTGCAGAATATACAGCCTCATGCTACATAACTAAGCTCCATTTCATGCTGAATAAACTAAATTATTGATGTATCTTAAATAGAAAACTATCTTACGATAGATTTTTACCCCAAAAGTTTTTTATTAAAATAAATTCGATAAAAATTAAAAAAATCTGATTTATTTTGATTTTTTTAAAAAAATCATTGATTTTTATCCACCCTGGTGTGGATATATGTTGGTTACCAAGTGATATAAATATATGTTGGTTACCAAGTGCCTGAATGCTGTAGTGGTCATAAGTACAAGGACCTATTATAAATAACTTTTTTGAGCACTATTGTACCTTCAAACAGTTGCTAAACAAATTTAATTAATTTAATTTAATTAATTAAATTTATATGCCGCCCCTCTCCAAAGACTCAGGGCAGCATATGATCATAAATTGACAACTACCCATAGAGCTCTACTGTGAATGCATATTAAGAGCATATTGTAGGGGAAGAATGGTTTATGCTGAAATGATTTCCTACAGCTCTGGAGAGGGAAGCATGGCAAAGAGATTATGTGGGAGAGTCTATTTCTCCACTAGTAGTTGATTATAGTTTTATTGAAAAGCTGCCCTGGTATCTTGCTACTCTGTGCTTTGCACTGGCTGGTATCTGAAAAAAACACTTCAGTGCTACATAGTTAATTATAATTTCTCAGTATAACTTTCCATTATATTGAGGAAAAGAACAAAGAATGCCGTGAAACTTTATAGACCAATAAAGGTATGAAGGTGCTGCAGAATTCCTTTCCTGGAAGTATTTAATCAGATGCTATTGTAGATTCCATAGTACCAGAATTCTGCACTAGATAGGGTGGGACTAGATGAACTTTAAGGTCTCTTCCAACCCTTACTTTATATGATTTCTTGATGGTTTGATGTAGTAAATTAATATACAATAGCTGCTCCTCTAGGTAGGACTTGGCACTGAATTGTTCATATTGTGTTACTATCCTGGTCAAGATTAATTTAGGTGCCTGTGACCAATTTACATTACAGGTAATCCTAAACTTAAGACCACAATTGAGCCTAAAATTTCTGTTGCTAAGTGAGACATTTGTTAAGTGAATTTTGCCCCATTTTATGACCTTGCTTGCCACATTTGTTAAGTGAATCACTGCAGTTGTTAAATTAGTAACACAGTTGTTAAGTGAATCTGGCTTCCCCATTGGCTGCTTCTCAGAAGGTTTGCAAAAGGTGACCACATGACCGGGACACTGCAATCGTCATAAATATGAGTCAGTTGCCAAGTGCCTGAATTTTGATCATGTGACCATGGCGATGCTACAACTGTCATGAAAGTGAGAAACGGCCACTATTTTCAGTGCTGTTGTAACTTTGAATGGTCACTAAATGAACTGTTGTAAATCAAGGACTACCTGTATTACAAATTTTAAAAAGGTTTTCCCAGGATGGGTTTTTTTCTCTTCATTCTCTATCTTTCCACAGGATCCCAAGTTGATTTTTCTGTTATCTGGCTTAGAGCTACCTTTTGGACTTGACGCAATCTCTGTCCAAACTGCGGCCTTATGCAATATTCATTGTTGATGACCCTGAAAGGCAGCCCGCAGGGGGGTTTTTTTTTTGTCTTACGGTGCTATATTAAAAAGAAAAGAGCCTGTTGACACCATTTCTGGTTTCCTACATTAATTAAAATACAGATTAGGATCTTGTTCAACCAAAAATAATGGGATGGGTTACAATTTTTTCCCTTTTTTCACATGTTGCTAGTTACATATATATACAGATATGTACAATACCAAACTTGTGAATTGAATCCTCCTTAAAGTCCTTGAATCAAAGCAGGGCCCTTGGGATCTCTTTAGATTCCATAATTATGATATGGTAAGAGATCGCAATTGGTCCCGGGGAGTTATGCCACTGTTGAGCCTTTCGCCCTTAACCCCTTTGTCTTCCTGGTTTCATTCTGCCTATGGAAAGGCTTTGCTTAGATTCAATATTCTTCAGTCCAATAGCCTATTTTACCTCTTTGGCCACATCAGTGTTGTTACTTTTGGTTCTATGATTGGCCACTCATTGCTTGCTCATTAATGGAATGGTGAGAAATTGTGTAGCCCAGATTTTATTCCGTGCAATTACATTTTCTTGCCATTTCCTTTTCTCTCTGGAGCTAGCTTGCAGAGGCCAGCTTAATGGAGGCTGCTCCTATAACTGCTGTTCCTTCTTTCTGCCATTCTTCTGCTAGTATTGGGGCAGATGACTACAGAGGGGAAGGTTAAAAAGTCAGCAAGAGTTCCCCATACTGCCAGAGATATTAGAATTAGCAAGTTTTGTCTTAGAGTGTTAAAAAATATCCAGCATTTGTAGAAGCCCAAATTATAGCGAAGTAGAAAAAGAGTTGTACGAACAGGCACCAAAAAGTAATTTCTAAGCCTGATTTTTTTTTTTTTATAAACAAGCAGATGAATGTAAACCTACCCAATTGCTAGTTAACAAGGCTTTTTCTTAGCAAATCACAAGGTGAAGTTGAGTGTTATGATTAAGAAGCTGGACTAGAAACTCTGAGATTGTGAATTCTAGTTTTACTTTGGGCATGAAACACAGCTGGGTGATTTTGGCCCAGTCTCTTTTACACCAACCTACATCACAGAGTTGTTAATTGCTGTGCAAAAAAAATAAAGAGAAAAAAGCATTCTGTATACCATATTGAATTGTACAAGATAAAGTTGGGATATAAATATTTATGCATATATAAGATAGCAAAAGCTGCATTATTGCCTGAACATAGTCAATTCCATAGTACATATGGCCAAAGATTGAACAAAAAGAAGATTATTTATTGGACGACTACTGATTATTTACTGGGGTAAAGAACAGTTGCCAAAGTGCACAGTAGCAGAAATCCTGCAAGCTGTGGCAAGACATGCAGGCAGCAAAATAAAGCTTGTTGAGCAATTTCTAGAAGCAAAGTTCACGAGTTTGGGTTTTCTCCCCCCCCCCCACTTTGGCATTTGCTTGGAACCATTGAACCAAGACGTCAGCATGTTAATCAACTGCAAATCTGGAAGCTGACGCATATTAATACAGCAGAGCAGTCCATGGAGAAAATAAAAATATAGGAGAGAGATGAAAATGGTGAGAGCTCCTGTGTCAGTCCTGGTGGACATAATCACACATACGATATTCCTACTTTCCCAATCAGTTTTCTTTTGATTATCATTCTTAACTGAAATGTCTAATCTCTAGACATTTCTAAAGCATCAAAGAATAAGATGCTTTAAATACAGATGCATTAATTGAGCTTGCAATCAGAATAAAATGAGGGATTCTTGATTCTTTTTCTCTATCTTCATCTCAAATTATCTTTGGTAACAGAAGTTTATTGTCCTTTTGGTTAATATGCCAAACAATGAATGACTAAATTTTCTACTGGACATAACAGATAGCAGGTATATTTTTGTCCCTAAATATATGCTCAATCAATTTTGACAATTTTGGGTGTGTGTGTGTAATACGCCCTTGATTGGTGAACCATGTTGATTGTGCATTTCTTTTCTGTACTCCCACAGGTTAGGAGGAACAGCAGGAGCCATTTTGACTTGCCCATTGGAAGTGGTGAAGACCCGCCTGCAGTCCTCCACCTTGGCCCCAAGACCTGTTTGCCTACCTGCAGTACAGTTGCAAGGAGTGAATGGAACATTTGTCCGCCCAGGACTCCCCAGGATTGGCTTTCTTGAACTACTAAGGTGAACAATGTGGGAGAACAGATCTGTGTTACATGCAGTGGTGCGATTCAAATAATTTAATAACTGGTTCTCTGCCCTAATGACCAGCTAGGTGGGCATGGCCATGGTGGACGTGGCCAGGGATATGACAGGCAACACTCAGCCTCCTGCAAAAAAGGACCGCAGGGGGGGGATGCACCGCACCCTGTTTTGGGCCTAGTAGGCCTCCCTGCAGCCTCCTGGGAGTGAAAACGGGTTGCGGGGGGGGCGCACCACACCCCCATGCCCCGTTTTGGGCCTAGTAGGCCTCTCTGCAGCCTCCTGGGAGCGAAAATGTGCTGCGGGGGGCCTACGCCGCACCCCCCTGCACCACATTATGGGCCTAGTAGACCTCCCTGCACTTACCTGGGACCCAAAATGGGGCATGTGGGGACTCCTGGAAGGGGAGGGGAGGGGGCCAGCCAGCAATTTAACTACCAGTTCATCCAAACTGGCCCGAACCGGCTGAATCCCACCACTGGTTACATGGGGAGCCTTGCTGATGTTCTCAGAAATTTCCAACTCTCCTCTACCTTGAAAGACAGGACAGAAAGTAATGTGCTCATTTACTCCTTTCTGAACAGAATCATTCTAGAGAAGGAAGGTGTTCGCTCCCTGTTTCGAGGCTTGGGACCTAATCTTATTGGAGTTGCTCCTTCCAGGTAAGATGGTTTGATGGAACAGGTAATTTATCTCTAATGATCCAAGCATAACTTTACAGAGCTTCTTATTGTAAGCACCTACATATTATCAGAGAGTTCAGGTCCTTTTGATGCATGGCATCAGTGGACTCTAAAAAAGCCCATGGCCTTTATATTGTTTTCTTGGTTTGTCATCCAAATTCAACTTTGCTTGGGTTTTGAGATGCAATTTCCCCTTTCTACTTCTAGGGCCATTTATTTTGCTGCATATTCGGGAGCTAAGGAGAGACTCAACACGGTGCTTATGCCAGAGTCCAAGAAAGTTCACATGATTTCAGCAGCCTGTGCAGGTAAATTAATATCCCATGCATACAAATATGGGTTGCCACTAATCATTAAATGCCTTACCCTTAGTGAATAATCAGTATATACATCAGTATACATCAGCCTTTCTCAACCTTTTTACCTGGGAGGAATCTTTGAAATAATGTCCAGGTCTTAAGGACTTTTATAATCAATGTTTTATGTTGGCCCCTTTGGCTTTTCTTCATCTGCTGTCTGCAGGCATCACATCCGCCACTTTGACCAATCCTATCTGGTTAGTGAAGACTAGGATGCAGCTGGAGCGCAGGTAAGGGCAGTGGGAAATCCACCTGTACAGGATCCTATTTGAGTCATGATCATTTCCAGGCAACATAAAAAACATTAGTTGCTTTTAAAACAACTAATTGCAAATGTAAAAAGGGAGATTTGTCAACTGTTACAACTAATCAGAGTACAAATACAGGTAGTCCTTGACTTATGACCACAATTAGGGCCCAAAATTTCTGTTGCTAACTGAGACAGTTCTTAAGTGAATTTTGCCTCATTTTACAACCTTTCTTGCCACAGTTGTTAAGTAACTCACTGCAGTGGTTAAGTTAGTAACACGGTTGTTAAATGAATCTGACTTCCTCATTGATTTTGCTTGTAGGAAGGCCGCAAAAGAGGATCATGTGACACTGAGACACTGCAACTGTCATAAATATGCATTAGTTGCCAAGTGTCCAAATTTTGATCACCTGACCATGCTGCAACAGTGAAAAACTGTCATAAGACCTTTTTTTTCAGTGCCGTTGTAATTTTGAACAGTCACTAAATGAACTGTTTTAAATCAAGGACTACCTGTAGATTATCCTGCGCTTAAGCACGACATTCAGAGTTCTAGGAACTCCAGCCTTTTTTTAAATTTCCCTTAGAGTTACAAATAAATGCTTGAATGCCTTGGGCATTTCAGAAGCTCGATATGCACAATATTTTCCATGGTTAAAATTTCAGTTCTTACAGAGTCCCCCCGTGCCTCCTGAAGTCTACATTATGTTTCTACATTATGTTTCTCGAAAAAGAAAGCCAGGTCTTATTTTCTTTTGACCCCCCAAAAAACAGCTGGGCCTTCTTTTTGGGGGGTTCTAATTATTGACTCACCTCGCGGCGGTGGCACTGACAGCCCCACCCAGCAGGAGCCCGCTGCTGGCCCACTTCTTCTGCAGCCACTTGCCACCACTCACACGCATCGCCCTGGCCTCCGTTTTACCTTCAGATGCCTGCCGGAAGGCATCTGCAGCTGATAATAGAGCTCCGGATAAGTAAATAAAGGAAATCTTCCAAAACAGGCTATTTTTAAAAATTGCTTGATTTGTCTGATTTAAATAGGTTGCAGAATGTAGGTGTTTGAATTCAAGTTTTAGCTGCAGCATTAGATACCCATTTTTAATATTGAAAAAGCATAGCCAGCGACATTGACAATACGAAGCAAAATCTTTCCTTCCTTCCTTTAGTGGCAGAAACGAGAGGTGCACCAGTGGCCTTCAGTGTGCCATGCGTGTCTACTACAGAGAAGGTCTGCGTGGCTTTTACCGCGGGGTTACTGCCTCCTATGCTGGTGTCACTGAAACAGTGATTCACTTTGTGCTTTACGAGGCTTTGAAGCAGCGACTCAGGGAACATCAGCTGCTCTTGACTCCATCAGTTGTCTTATCACTCAGTGGTCAAGACTTCTGCGGGCTGATGGCAGCAGCGGCTTTCTCCAAAACATGTGCTTCGTGCATTGCCTATCCACATGGTGAGTTGCTCTGAGCTTCATGCTCTCCATTGAACCCATCTGACCATAACGAGCTTCCTGCCATCCTTACACTCATTTTCTGTTTTACTTTCCACAGAGGTTGTTCGAACACGGCTACGTGAGGAAGGATATCGTTACCGCTCCTTTGTGCAAACTCTCCAGCTTGTGGCCAGAGAAGAAGGCCCCTTAGCTCTTTATCGTGGACTTTCAGCTCATCTTCTTCGTCAGATCCCCAATGCTGCAATTATTATGGTTACCTATGAGCTGATTATTCACTTGGCAACCAAAATGTGATTCCTTTCTATTCTTGCCAGGTGGCTTAAGCTGTTAAAGGCTTTGAAGGGCACGGTGGTTTAATGGGTGCACTTCCCCATTCCATTACAGCACATAAACCCTGTAAGAAAAGCCTAAAAAGTTAGGAGCCCTTCTGTAATGGGTGGTTTTGAAGGCTTGGTAAGTGAAAGACTGTTTTCAGCTGCTCTTGGCCTTTATCAGGCATTTAAAGGCACGGACAAAAGAGCACATACAGATCACAAACCAGGACAGGTGTGGAATTTACTATGCAGATACGTTTAGAAGAAAACATCTCTGGGTGAATGCTTCCAAGGTCTCACAAGCCAGATGATCAATAGGCCCATCATGCAGTTTAGTGCACTGAAAGTGTTATGCTGTACTCTTCGTAGGGCTGGAACTGATCTGGTCAACTGAGTGGGAAAATAGTTTTTAAGAAAAACAGTACGAAGAAGACTGGACTTTTTATTGGAAGGAGATTAGTAATTTGGATCTCAAATCAGCCAGTGATAAGACCTTTATAGATACAGCAATGTTTCTGTTTTGAGCCTACCAGAATAACAAGTTGTTTATCCTCTAGGCAGGAGTCCCCAACCCCTGGGCTGCAGCCCACTACCAGGCCGCGGCCCATTCAGAACTGGGCTGTGCAAGCAGCAGGTAAGTGTGTGCACGCGCACACGAAGTGCCATTTTGCATTAGTGGTGGACACTCGCCTTCATGCGCAAAGCAACATTAGCTCCAGCGGCGTGTGCGTGTGCCTGGCACTCATGCAAATGGTGCTTCATGCACTCTCACCCGCTTACAGCTCAGAACCATCCTCTCCCCCACTGCCAGTCTGTCAAGCTGGAAAGGTTGGGAACCGCTGCTCTAAAGGTTGGTGGGGAACTTGTGCCCTCCCACTTCATGTTTTTCTCCATGTTCATAGGAAACATAGTGACATTAAGGACTGCAAAATGAGTTCCTTGAGATAATGCTGTTCATGGACTACCTTTGTGTTTAACTTCTCAGGCTTTGTTTACACTTCTTGATTTGTAGATTTTAACTTCCCAACAGGGTAAAAAAAAAAAATCAAGTGGAGAAGAAATATGTTGGCAGCTATTCAGAATTCTCCATGTGGGAGAGAGTTGTACAATGTCAGTGAAGAGAATATTCTGAAATCGGACTCTAGCACACCCTCCAGTTGAAAGCTTGTGCTGGGATTTCTGTCTGTATGAGGTTTTTAAAAATACAAAAAAAGAGTTATGAATAAAACTGCAGTTTTGAGAGTTTGTTCATACGCACTATGACATATTTTAAGAAATGAAACCAGGCTTTAAGAGAGATTGATTGGGGTTTTTATCCCACCACAATTTTGCAACTTCTAGTACTTATTTATCATAAATTAATATAAAAGAGAAATGGAAGGGAGTGACCTCCCCTTTGACTATTTCAGGTGGCATCCACAAATGGAAGCTCTGGCCTAAGAATTTCCACTTGTGAAAAATTAAAAGAATCCCATGGATTTCTCATCTCAACTCACACACATTTAGAATAAGCTCTTTAGCTCAGGTTTTCCAGGGTCCCCCTGAGACTTTGACTATCCTCCCTATAGGAACCTTTCACTCCTAATAGGTGCCACCCAATTCTGGAGCAACACACAGAGTCAGGATTTTCAAACTCTGTTTTCCATTGAATCCTTGGGTTCTGTAAGAAGTTGATGCTATTTCCTAAGAGACTAAAGGCAAAGAGAAAAAAGTTTACTTGAACTTCGCAAATTTACTACAGTACTAAGGCTTTCCTTCTAGATTGAGTTCTGAGTTTAAATTTTGAGAGAGAGAGGGAGATACACACAGATACAGAGATATACACACATATATAGCTGAATATGTAGTCGTAGGTGCTGCCTGTGATGTGGGAGACTCAGGTTCAAATCCTGGGTAGTACCTATCTTACTAGTAGGGTCCTTGGGCAAAGATCCTCTAAAATCTTCACTTGCCAACCTCAAAATATGACTGACATGAACTAGGAGAGTCACGTCAGCTCGGACATTGCCTGGATTAACAAAGTCCATGTCAGATGTTGAGGAACCAGAACGATCTGATAAGTGGGCTATTGAAGCAAACCATACTTTGATGAGACTCGAGAACCTGGAACTGATGGAATGCTAGTACAACAGCAGACGTAATGAAAAGGATATATGAAGCGTATAAAGAAATTATGGATAGACGGAAGACCTGCATCCATACTGAGAAATAGCTAGTTATCCTATGCTTCAACACAGTGAAGAGGAAGCTGCTATTAGTTTGAAATAGGCCAGCCATACATTACATTCCAGACTCAAGAAAAGCCAGAAAAATAATGATTTGCAGCCAAACCTTGAAGCTGGAATGTCACTACTGAGTATGAGAAACTGGAGAATTGCCAGACTCTGAAGAAGGAACTGGAGAGGAAGTAGAAAGTCATGCTAAAGTGGTCCCAATGATGATAGGAGCACTTGGGGCTGTGACACCTAAATTGGGAGAGTGGCTCCAACAGATCCAAGGAACGATGTCCAAGCTCTTCGCCCAGAAGAGTGCAGTGCTAAGAAAAGCTAAGATAATATGCAGAATCCTCAGACTCTCAAGAGTTCTGGTAGAGGGGCAGAGATTGAGGAAGACATGCACCATCCACAACGGTGAGAAGGGTCTGTGTGTGTGTGTGCGTGTATACACTATAATATACAATTATATATTTCTGACATGCAAACATAGTTACATAGACACTATCTATACCTACGTACACATGTATATAAATATTCTGGAATATATACACCACACACACACAAAGTAACACTTCTGATTTAGGTTACCAGTTCTTTGACCAAGTAGCCTTGTCCAGCTTTTTTTTTTTTTAATTTGATTTATATGCCACCCTTCTCCGGAGACTCAGGGCGGCTTACAATGCGCTAAGCAATAAGCAATAGCCTTCATCCTTTTGTATATTTATACAAAGTCAGCTTATTGCCCCCACAACTGGGTCCTCAATTTACCTACCTTAGAAAGGATGGAAGACTGAGTCAACCTTGAGCCTGGCAAGATTCGAACCTGCAGTAATTGCAGGCAGCTGGTCTTAATAACGGTGCTTTAGACCACTGTACTACCAAGGCTTCCCTAAAAGTCTTGAGCTCTGCACATTCTGCTGTTGTGCTTGCTAAATAAATCCTGCAATTCACAGACTTTAGGCAAAGGAGACTTCTGAAGTGGTCAACGGTTTTGCTCAGTGACTTCCCAGCTAGTTGCCCAAGTTTAACTCTCATTCACTTTTCCATTCCATTTTCACATATTCTCTCCCTTTTCCTAACAGAAGGTCCTGTGCTCTGGCCTGACCTCCTATACCTTCCAGGCTCTGTTGGTAGACCAGAGCTTCCTGTGGCTGGGAAAGGAACAGAGGGAGCAAGATCCAGCTATGATTAGGAGAAGGGTCCTCACTCACACACACAAGCATACACACATTTCCCTCACTTTTCTGGGCTTTAAAAGTTGAAATTTACTGGTACTCACCTTTCCAAGAAGAGTTTGAGCTCAACACTCAAAACCCCTTCAAAACCGTTGTTCCAAATGGTCAAGGTCCAGGAAAACTCACCCACAGACTCAATGGGTCTGCTACCAGCAAGGGAGGCTTACCTGGGCCAGGTCCATTGATCAGGTTAGCTTAGAGTCCCATGTTTGGGTGCCAAATTGTTGGAAGAAATGTCCATCTGGGTTCAGTTCCAAGTGGGGAGAAAGACACTGGAAACATGGAGGCTGTTTGGAAAGATGGTTTAATGGTGGACAGGAGCACATGGTTTGAGGTCCTGGGCAACTGAGCACATGGTGAGAGAGAGAGAGATTTATACCCTCTCTTGGGCTTTGAATGTGCTTCCTGTTCCTGTTGCAAGGGCATGTATTCTGATTGGTTGTCAGGCTTCCATGGGGCCATGCAGGGGTAACTTTGTAGGCTGTCTTGAGTCCCAGGCTTGGTTGAACCTTGCTGGGTGATGCAATCTTCCCAGGTGCCATGTGATAAGATTGGTAGAGGGCTAATTCTATTATGTCCTGAGGGTGAAGGTCTTTTATTTTGTAAACAGGCCCAGCCTTTTGTCTTGTAGATAGGTTGGTCACAGTCTTTCTGGGGCTATTAACAAAGGTGGGGGCTGCTTTCCAAGAGCATGTTTCTCCTTTTCTCATCCAAGGATGTATAATATTCTGCCTTTTTAATATTTCCTAGAATATTTCATTCTTCTAGGAGAAGGGTGGGTGCTAACTTTCTATACCTAAAAGTCTTGAGCTCTGCACATTCTACTCTTCTGCTTGCCAAATAAATCCTGCAGTTCACAGACTTTAGGCAAAGGAGACTTCTGAAGTGGTCAACCGTGAACAAAACTCTGCTGACTTGTATCCCTTTGCCCTATTTTCACTACACCAGGTAAAAGCTTTTGCAAGACAACAAAGCTTGTTTCAGAAAAAAGAGGCTCCAAAACGCAGAGTATACATTTTTAAAATCCTTTTTTATTTTAAAATGTGTTCCATTCCCTTTTCCATATCATATTTCCTTCACTTGCTTGAATATTATTGACAATTTTACAAAGCGACACAAGCTGCAGGGGTTTTTATTTTTTGTTTCTTTGCATCAAACAAGAATCTCAAACAACAACATTGAAAAAATATACAATATTATATATATATAGTATTTTGGGAATTCTGATGTAACCCTTGTGTTGTCCCTCCCTGCTCCTTTCTCATTTCTCTCTGCTTTGCTTACATAGCATGCCAATTCATTTTAGCCTTCTCAAGTGTGGTGGCAATCCTAAACTGGGAATTGAGTCAAGGGGCCCTGCCCCACCAGTCCAAGCAAAAAGCTTGTAAGTTGAGAAGAAGTAGGAATTTTAGAAGAGAGAAGGGCTCTTCTTCTGAGCCCTGCTGTTTGATTGTTTTTAATGAAGATCAACATGGATACCCTTTGGGCCCAGGGAAGCACTAACCTCAAGAGGCAGAGCAGAGCCAGAGCAAAATCAGTGGCTAACATAGGATAAAATATACAGTAATGCTCTCGGCAGAGCTCCCAATTGTTTCAATGAGCTAAGGAACTTCCTTGAAGATTGACCCCCAATGGTAATTTAGAGGGAGAAGATGCCAACTACGTCTTTTGCCTCATGCACCAAAACTGTCCTCGCCAGTCCACTGTGCAAACAATGGAAAAAACAGGAGGAAGGGGAGGGGGTAAAATGTAAATAGAGAAAATGTGTAGAAACAGGCCATATCCCCAATTATTAAATATAAGCACGACCTTTTGGTGGTGGTCTGCTTTTACCCCATCCATTATATCCCTCTAGTAGCGACGAGAGGCATCATGCTTGCCCACAATGCGCCGCTCATCGATGGCATTGCTGGCTAGGCTGTCTGGTGATTCAGAATCGCTGCTGTCTTCCTCTTCAGCTGCTTCCCTGGCTTTGGATTCATTGGCCTCTGCTGCTCTCTCCTGGCAACTCTGATATGACTGCGGAAGAGAAAGGATGCAGGGAGCGATGCAAGTTAAAACATGGCCTCTTCCCACCCATCCATCCCTTCTTTCACTCACCTCCATGGGGTTGACAATAATGGTGAGAGCAGAATCATCCCAGAACATCTCGTTCTCCTTGGCCCTGGCACTCCCCTGGCTTCCTGCAGACTCCCCAGCACCCTCCCGTTCACTCCCTCGCCTGTGCAAGGAATGGATGCGCAGCACACCTAGGATTACCATCAGTGCCAGGAAGCCCACGCACACCACAATGATTATAGTGGCAGCACTAGGAACCACTGCAGAATAGAAAAGAGAAGAGAGAGCCCAAATCAGTTGGGGAAATAATGTTTGGTGGGCACTTTTGAGGGGGAGGGTCATATAAAACGCATAAACAACTTTTTGCAGGAGGTAAAAATCTATTAGAGAATGAAAATGTAAGAGAGATGGCATGAATATACAAAAAGGATCCCCAAATTAGTGGTAGGTTCAAAGGCTTGATCGCTGTATTAGAGTCAGAAATCATAGAAAGCAAAGGTAAGTGGAAAATATTACTAACAAAAATTGAAATAGCAGTAGAACTGTTTAAAACCTTTCAAGATGGTATAGTTGCCTGTGCTCATAAGCAGGTATGGAAAAGCAGCTGCTTGTGCCTGTAAAAAATAAAGGTAAAGGAGTTCCTGCAGATTTTACTCTTCTAGTTGACTAGTGGGTGCGCTTCTCTGTTTCAAGGGCCACTGAGCCAGTGCTGTCTGAAG